TAGCTAAAATTTCCACTAGACAGTTGAAGATTGAGAGATGTGTAGGTCACTGTTCTCTTTCATAGAATGAAAAAAATTCAGAATTCTTGATGAAGATTGATTTAAATATTTTCCATTTCTGTGGCACAGACTTGCATGCTGTTGGGATTAAGGAGGAAATGCTAGAAATGGTCCTTGTCCTTAAAGGACCCACCATCTAAGTGATGCTTTAGCCTGATGTTGTAGAGATATTCCATCCCACATAGTGGGGATATCCAAACCTTGCACAACTGCTTGGGTTGGAATTCTTATTTTCCTAGTGCAATATAGGCATCCCTGTACCTTTGATTTCCTCATAAGTAAAACAAGATGAAGATTTTGAGATCTGTTTGCTTTCCAAATTCTAAGTTTCTGTGAATGAAACAGGCTTAGTTCTACTGTTGGGTTTACCTCTAGCATTGGAGCCCTACTAACCTGGTGATTGCTACCTGCTGCCTTTTCCTTGTGCTCCCAGCCCACCTCCTTCTCCATTCTGGTGTACCCTCAACCTCACATTAGACCATCAGTCTTTCTAAAACAAACATGTTACTCCTCAGTTTTTAAGTATAAGAACTTCGTAAAGTATGACTCTGTGCAGGATGGGACTTGGCTCCCTAATTTCTTCGTGGTTTCCTTTCTTGCCCCTTCCCTCCATCAACCAAACCTATCTCTGGTCATACTGGACTGTTCACCATGCCTTAAAATCACCGTGCTTATTCTTAATCTGAAATTTGCATAAACAGTCCCATCTGACCAAAAGTGTTTCATTTATTACCCTTTTGGAGAATGCTTGCTCATTTTTGAATACCCAACTCTAATGTGTATCTGCAAGTCTTCCTTAACCTTTCTGGGCATTTAGCTAGTCTGGCCTCTTATCCTATAATACTTTGTACATTTTGTACTATGGATTTATCATATTGAATTATAATTTATTTTATTTATTATTTTTTAATGTAATCTCTATCCCCAATGTTTATTATTTTTTAATGTAATCTCTATCCCCAATGTGGGTCTCAAACTCATGACCCAGAGATCGACTCACGTGCTCTACCAACAGAGCCAACCAGACACCCCTATGATTTCTTTTCAAATTCTCTTCTTTCATTTGGTCTCCTAGAGGATGATTCTTAATTCAACTAGCAGTGCTCAACTCAATATAGTGGATGGATGGATGGATGGATGGATGGATGGATGGATGGATGAGTGGATGGATGACCAAAGTACAAGTGCCGGTGTCAGAACCCATGATTCAAGACTCAGTTATTAATCCCTTAGGACATTGAGGGAAATAAATTACTTTATTTCATTCTGTATTATTTCTCTTTTTGCCTTTATTAAGTTATGTATGTCCATTTGGAAGAATAGGAATAATAGGTAAGCCAAAAAGAAAGGCCAACTAATATCTTCCACCCAGAAATAATAGTTGACTGTTTTATGTGCATTATTTGTGCTAGAATTTTATCTTGAACATATAGAAGCTTTTAACATGATGTATTCTGAACATACCATTTTGATTTTTTTGCACTTAGAAATATACTATAAACATTTTTCATGTCTCAAATTTTTTAATGGCTGCATGGATTATATCATAATTTATTTAACCAGTTTGTTTTATTTATCATTTAGATTGCTTGAAATTTTTAGATTCTGGAAACTGCACTACAGTGTCATTTGTGTAGCTGTGGGTTTTTTTCTGTGGGGTGTGTGTGTGTGTGTGTGTGTTTCCTATTCATGACTTTTTCCCTTAGGATAAATTCTTAGAAGTGAAATTAATGGATAAAAATATGGATTTTGAGTTTTCTCCACCTTGAGTGTGCTGGTCAGGTAGCTTTTTTTTTTTTTTTTTTTTTTTTTTTTTTTTTTTTTTTTTTTTTTTTTTTTAATATTTATTTCTGAGAGAGAGAGAGAGACAGACAGACAGATAGCACGAGTGGGGAAGGGGCAGAATGATAGGGAAACACAGCATCTAAGGCAGGCTCCAGGCTCTGAGCTGTCAGCACAGACCCTGACATGGGGCTCAGACTTGGGTTCATGACCTGAGCCGAAGTCGGACGCTTAACTGACTGAGCCACCCAGGCACTGTCACATATTGTGTTGAGTCACTGGGGGCAATATTTACAGGTGGTGTAACCAGTTGTCATTGTACACTGAACTACTTTCTTTCTTATTGATCTAACTTCCCTCAATCAAGGACCCAAGGGCTCAGCTTGAATTCTGGAGATTTGCTCTGGGTTCTATGACTTGGGTGATCTTAAAGATTGGAACTTGTAGGAGGTCCCTGGGTGGCTTGGTCGGGTAAGCATCTGACTCCAGCTAGGGTCATGATCTCCTGATCTGTAACTTTGGGCCTCACGTTGGACTCTATGCTGACAGCTCAGAGCCTGGAGCCTGCTTCAGATTCTGTGTCTCCCTCTCTGCCCTTCCCCTGCTCATGCTCTGTCTCTCTCTTTCTGTCTCAAAAATAAATAAACATTAAAAATATTTTTAAAAAAAGATTGGAATTGGTAAACCTGCACTTGTTTAAAAAGAATACTATTAGGATATGTCTGTAATAGTTCACGGCATGGAGTTGATTGATGGCCACTACTCCCTCGAGGGCCACATCTGGGAACTTTAAAAAAAATGTATAGCTACGTAGTTAGAATTGCTTTATTTTTTTGTGTGGTCTTTGAAGCCACTGGGCCCTCTCTGAGTAGCACAGGGAAGAAAGAATTTTAGGAATATCACAGCAGTTGTATGGGTGAGAATTACCTGAAAAAAAAAGGTATAATTTACTTTTCGTGACCTATTTAGTCATCATTTCTACCAAACTAAAATTCAAACAAGATATGCATAAATCATACTGTATTCATTTTGAACTTATTTTATTTACAAATAAATGCATAGCATAGAGGTGCTTTTTGACTACTCTCTGGCCATAGAAGAATTGTGTTGTCCCTCTTGTCATTTTAAACAAATGCTAACTTACTTTTTATAGCAAGTTTATTGAGATAGAACTCACATACCACACGGTTCACCTAGAGTGCACAAGTCAGTGTTTTTTATTTTCATCACAGAGTTGTGCAGTAGTCACCACAGGCAATTGTAGGACATTTCCACCAATGTGGAAAGAAACCCCATACTAATTAGCGGTCATTTCTTATTTCCTCTTAGCCCTCCTCCCTCCCTCTTTCCTTCTCTCCTTCCTTCCTTCCCTCTCTCCCTCCCACCCTCCCTCTCTCCTTTTTTCTTTCTTTCTTTCTTTCTTTCTTTCTTTCTTTC